CCCCGGTAGTCTTCTTCTCACCTTTTCCCACCCTTTCTCTTCTATCCATGTCTCCAGCATCACCACCACGTCCTACTCTCCTATCTCCTTCATAAACTCCTTATCTTTGTTCCACAAACCCGCCACATTCGAAAACACCAACTTCCAGCTTCTATCCTCCTTCTGCCCCTCTTCTTCCTTTGCTCCCTTCTCCCGAGTTTTTTTCTTTAATCGTTTTTTGCTGCTTTATCCCCTCCATGTCCCTCCCTGCATCCCCCCTCCCCCACTTGCTTCTCCCCGTCTTTCTTCCTCCCGTTTTCTCTCCCATCTCCCCTTCTTTTCCTGTTCTATCCTTTCCCCTCCTCTCCCGTCTTTTAGTGCTTCTCTCCTTTCGTCCCAAAACCACATTATTCCGTTTATTGCGATCGTCCCATAGCTCACCCTTACTCTATTGCCTTTTCTCTGTTCTTCGATTCCTATTTCTCCTAGCAACCACTGCATCCTTCTTTCGCTCCATGTCAAGTCGTCTTCAATTTTGAGCCTTCCCCCTATAATATTTCTCCTGCTTCTCATCACCTCTACCTTTCCCTCGACGTCCTCCATACTAACCTCCATTGTCGCCTCCTTGCCCCCCGCCCTCCTTCTTCCTATCTCTTTCGCTTCTACCACCTTCTTCCTGACTCCTATCCCCTCTATGATTCTCGTCCCCGTTTGTCTCGCTGTACAGTCTATCTGCACCCGCTTTATTATGACATTTCTGCTTCTCCTCTCTTTCTCTCCTTTCTCTATTTTTCTCTCCATCTCCTTCACTCTCTCCTCCATCCCTCTCCTATCTCCCACTCTCCCCACTTTTTCCTCCCCCTTGCTTTTTCCCTTTTCCGTTTCTATTTTTCTAACTCTCTCTTGTAGTTCCTCTATCACCCTGTCCTTTCTCTCACCTTCCTTTATCTTCTCTTCCAGGCCGTATATTCTCATTTACATTTCTTCTCTCTCCCTTCTCCCCCTTTCTTCTCCCTCCTCATCTCCTCTCTCATGCTCGCTATTTCTTCCTTCGTATCTCTCCCTTGCTCCTTTACCTCTTCCCTCACTTCTCTCATTTCTTTTCTTAAGTCCTCTCTCATCTCTCTCAGAATTTTCTCTAACTTTCCTGTCTCATTTTCCCCTTCTTCGGTGATCTCAACGTCTGCCTGCTTTTCTGAAAAATTCGCTGCCTTTCTTTATCTTCCTCCTCTGTCTCTTCCTCTCTCTTCCTTTTCTACATATCGCTTATATTCATATAATTCCCGTCGCTGTTACTCCTTTCTCTCCTTAATCGTTCCACGTTTGTTTCCCTACCCCTCTTTGCTATCTCATCCTCCGTTTTCCCCTTCTCAACTCCGCCACCTTCCATCCTAGCTTTTCTCTATTCTCCTCCTCACCTCTCTTTCTGTTTCTGCTTTCCTCGTCCTGTTTTGTGCTCCTCTCTGCTCTCTTGTTGCCTTGCCCGTCATCCGTTTTGCTCTACTCTATCACTACCTTGTACGGCCCGTGCTTCTCTCTAATTCTCATTACCCTTCTCCCACTCCGGCTCCCCTTCCTTTCTTGCCTGTCGAAACGCTCGCGCTTCCCACTACTGCTCCCCGTCCGCTGCTGCCACCTCGCGCTCTTACTCACGTCCTTCCCTTCTCTCCATCTATCTCCTCACCTCTCTTCTTCACTTCCTCCTCGCCGTCCTTTTGTCCTAACCTCTCTCCTGTTATCTTTCCTCCTTCGCTTTTCCGTTTCTTTCCGTTCCTCTTCTCACCGTTTTCACTTCCCTACTTACCTCTGCTCTCACTCTGTCCACCCACGTTTTTTCTTCCCTGTATCTCGTTTTTTTACCCTCTTTTTCCTCTTCAACCACATTATCACTTTCTCACCTGCCAAACTCCATTCGCACCGGAAACGGAAGTCAATATGCATTCTATATATTTATTTATGGAGAAATGACATTTTTCTCAATTTGGGACTAATTTTTAAGATCACAGTCTGTTTATAAGTATGAGATCATGTACATAGAAATTATATTATGCATACTGACTTAATGCAAAACTATATGAAAGTATGTTATTAGTATTTATTAATAGTCTTCTATTTCAAGACCAGTTGCATCATCGTTATTTTCAATTTCTGTATCAATTTATTTGCCACGCTCATGAACTGTTTCATTAGAAGCTTCCCTGAAAAATCTTAAATTGTAGTTGATATACGTTATCATGTCAGCATGCTTTGTTGTGAGTCTATTTCGTTTCGCGTTATGAATCCATCCTTGGGTACTAAAGCTTCCCTCGGTAGCTGCTGAGAGTTGTCTTGTGACAAATACCTTTCCACTAATTCACAGATGACATGCCACTAATAGCTTTCTAGACATATAATTGCTTTCATAAACCATCATTGGCATGATAATATGCTAATTCTGCAAGAACTTTTTCGACGTTCAAATTCAGTTTCTCTGCTAACTCGTGAATGAGTACACAACACTAGCTTGTTGTTTCTCATCCGAATATTGACCCTTTAGTGTAGGATTTTAAACGTATGCTGCATAGTGCATTAACCTTCAAACTAATACCTTCCTATATGCGAAAACTTCGAAGACTATATGAGCGTCAGAGTCCGATAGTACAGAATGAGAAGATGTTCTCAGCTCATTTTCGAAATGTTTGTTAATACTGCCGAATGCTTCATAGACATGTGACAATGTTATCGAGTTACATTGTAACATTTTTATCCAAGTCAATATTCATTTGATCAACACCCCGGTTTTGTTAAATTCAGTCCAAGTTTCTTCTTCTAATAACGCAGCCTTCGTTGTTTTATCCAATCCAGATGACGCAATTGGATTAATTGCTAG